ACCGGAATTATTGCTCGATTTATACAAGCCTCAAAAATGTTAAATTTTTCTACATTTTTTGCTTAACATATTTAAGAGGTCATAACTTCGAAACTACTGCATATATTTTTATGATTTACACTTTATTTGAAAGCTATGGGCCTTAGGATTAATAAAATGAACAAATTTAGTTATATGCATTTGAACAAGTTTTCTCAAAATTTAATAAAAACTATATTACTTTGATACACCTTCTGCTATGAAAAATATAAGCACATAGTTCCCAATATAATATTTATGATTCGAATCGATTTTTTTTAGACATTTTTGAATAATTTTGAATAGAAGAAAGTCTAACCTATACAACGATATAATATTTGTCAAAGTATCTTAACAAATACCAGCAATATGGAACATTTTACATTGAACGGTCCATTTTCCAGTTTTTTGGATTTTTTCGCGCATCAGAATCTCAGGGTCATAACTTCGAAAGTGTGGCGTATATTGTTATGATTTTTACTTTATTTGGAAGGTATGGACTTCAGAATTAATAAGATGAACAAATATAGTCATCTCCTTCCGCAGAAGTCTTCTCAAAATTGAATAAAGCAAAATTACTCTGATACACCTTCTGCAAGGAGATACATCAGCTCTTTGTTTCCAATAAAATATTTATGCTTCGAATCGATTTCTTTGGAAGTATTTGCATAAATTTTGAAAAAACAAGGTCAAACCTACAGAATGGTAGAACATTTGCCCAAATAGCCCAACAAATACCAGCAATATGAAACATTTTACATTGGACGGTCCATTTTCCAGTTTTTTGGATTTTTGCGCTCATCACTATTTCGGGGTCATAACTTCGAAAGTATGACATATATTTTTATGATTTTTACTTCATTTGGATCTTGTGGACCACAAGATTAAAAAAAAAAATCATCTATACAGAGATTCATTTTAAAAAACACTTTGAAAATTCAATAAAAACTAAATAAATGGTTGCAGCATTTACAAGGAAAAATATGAGATCTTTGTTTCCATGATCATATATATATATATACTTAAGATCTATTTCTGCGGAACAATTTGACCTGAAGTAGAAAGAACCAGGAAGTAGAAGGCCATGCTTATATATCGTTATAACATTTTTGAAAATATGGCCTGCCTAGAAACAGAAATATGGAAAATTTTTACCACAAACACACAATTTTCCAATAGTTTGTATTTTATCAGGAAACTCTTGCTTGGGGCCATAAATTCGAATGTAAGAGGTATATTTTTACAAGATATATTTATTTTTTTATACATACATACTTAAAACCATAGAGCGTATAATTATTTATAAAAAATGGCCACTGGTGCGTATGACTATTAATAATTATTTTGGTGTCTTTAGTAATTTCAACATAACTCGTTCAATTTCTGGGCTATTTTTGAAATAAAAAATGTTTTGGATTCAGAACACATTACAGCTAAAACCAAAATTGCCAAAAAGTATTGTATACTATTTTAAAATTACAAAAAAAAAAAAAAAAAATATTTTATAAACATTAATGACTTCAAGGAAATCAATTTTATTTTTCTTTTTTTTTTTTTGAAAAATTATTAAACCTTATTGAAATCTCCAGAAGGCATACACACATGAGCTCAGCAGAATTTTCATTAATTTTTTAATATAAACATACTAAAACCATGCTGCGTATGATTATTTTTAATAATGGTCATTGGTGCGTATGACTATTAATAATTAATTGGTGTCTTTAGTAATTTCAACATAACTCGTTCAATTTTTGGTCTATTTTCAAAATAAAAACGTTTTTGAGTTCAGCACACATTATAGATAAAACCAAAATTATAAAAAAATTGCATTATAATTTAAATTTAAAGTAAAATGCATTTTATAAACTTTAACTGGTACGGGTACGTATGACTATTAATAATTAAGAAGTATCTTCAGTAATTTCAGCAAAACATGGTAAATGTTTAAGCTATTTTCGAAATAAAAATATTTTTGATTTCAGCACACATTACAGCTAAAACCAAAATTATCAAAAACCTTACATTGCATTTAAAATTATAATGAAATAAAGTAAATATTCTAACGGACTTCAGGGAAATTAATTCTATTTTTATTTAATTATTTATTTTTTTTTTTTTGAATAAAAAATTTAACCTTATAAAATTTCTAAAAATACATACACATGAGCTCAGTAAAACATGAATTTTTAAATATAAAACTACTAAAACCCTTGTGCGTATGCGTATTTTTAATAAGGACCTCGGGTGCGTATGACTAATAATAATTATGTGATACTTTTAATAATTTTATCATATCGTCTTCAATTGTTAACCTATTTTAAAAATTTAAACGTTTTTGAGTTCAGCACACATTGCAGCTAAAACCAAAATTGTCTGAAATTAATTTTTTTTTTAAATTATAATAAAATATATTTTACAAAGTTTAACTGACTTCAGGTAAATGACATTTATTTTTCTTTTTTCTTGAAAAATTATTAAAATGATTCCAAATCTTCAGCATACGAACTGTGAAAAAATACATGTGGACTCAGTACAATATTAATTTTTTAAATATAAACCTACTCATACCATGGCGCGTATTTATTATATTTATATTCTTTAATAATGACCATTGGTGCGTATGACTATTATAAATTATTTGGTGTCTTTAGTAGTTTCGCCATAACTCGTTCAATTTTTGGGCTATTTTCGAAATAAAAACACTTTTGAGCTCTGAACACATTACAGCTAAAACCAAAATTGCCAAAATAATTACATTGTATTTTAAAATTATATTAAATGATATTGAAAACAATTTTACTGCATATTAGGCAAATTAAATTTAAATTTCTTCTTTTGAAAAAATTTTGAAATATTTTAAAATTGTCACTTTATGAGTTCAGAAGGCATATTCGATTTCATTTCAAGATTTATATATTTTTTAATATAAACCTACTCATTCTATGGTGCGTATGATTATTTTTTAAATTCTTTTATTATGTCCATGGGTGCGTATGACTAATAATAATTATTTGGCATCTTTAGTAATTTTAGCATATTATCAACAATTTTTAACCTATTTTGAAAATTTCAAACGTTTTTGAGCTCTACACACATTACAGCTAAAACCAAAATTCTCAAAAAAAATAACATAGTATTTTAAAATTTAAAAAAATATATATTTTACAATTTTGGTTGACTTGAGGTAAATGAAAAATTGTTCTTTTGTTTTCGGAAAGATAATTATAATATTTTAAAATCTTTAGCTACGAATGCTTACATGAGCTCAGTACAAGATTTGTTGATTTTCTTAATAACAACATTTTAAAACCGTGGTGCGTATGAATATTTTAATATGATCACCGGGGCGTATGACTAATAATAAATATTTGGTATCTTTAGTAATTTTATCATATCTTCAACAATTTTTAACCAGTTTTCAAAATTTAAACGTTTTTGAGCTGTGAACACAATTGTACTAAAACCAAAATTAACAAAAATTTAATTTTATTTGAAAATTACTATAAAATATATTGCAAAACATCCAAGTCTTTAAAAATAACTTAAAATATTGCACTTTTTTCTCTTTAAAACACTATTAACCTGTTTGTATACAAAAATATTTTTTTCTTTTGCAAAAAAAAAAAAAAAAAAAAAACAATTCCATGTCATGGACTGACTGGTACTGATCTACCCTCACAAAAATTTGCAGATTATTACCTGTTGCTTATGATTTTTGCCAAAACGATTTGTTTACGGATATTGAATTCCCCCAAAAGACACCCACACCCACCTGCTGATAACAATTAATCGCAAACAGCAAAATTGCGTCACTAATTATTATTATTAAAAAAAAAAAAAACAAAAACAAATTATAGAAATCATCATTAGAATTAGTCATTTTAAAAGTTATAAACAAAAAAGCAATGGTAGCCCACGCAAGCAAAATAATCATCAAAGGTAGCTGATGTGACCTTTTAAGGTCATGTTTTAAATGCGTCGACGACAATGATGATGAGGGAAGTCCCCAAAGTGAAAAGAAAAAAAATTGCAAAAAATAACAAAAAAATTGTAAACAAATTTGCAAAACAAAAAAGAAAAATAAAAAATTGCAAAAAAAAATTGAAAAAAATGAAGAAAAAAATGCAAAAATTAAAAAAAATAATAAATAAATGTATATAAAAAATTAGAGAGTTTATAAGGGATATTAGGGTCATTAAGTCCACAAATAAAATAAAGCAAAATAAATTAATAAAATACCTAAGTAAAATAATCAAATTGGAACAAAACAAAATATTTTAACCGGTATGTTATTTAAAAAACAAGACTTATTTTGTTCATCCGCTTAAGCCGCATATTTTTGTTTTGTTTTTGCAAAAAATCAAAGCAGAAAAACAAACCACATTGTTCTCATTTGCCAAAGAGTCAGTGGGGCTCTCGCTCTCTCTCTCTCTCTCTCTCGCCCATACAATAACGGCCATATAGCAAATGGCAGGCAGGCAGGCAACAACATGAATATTGATGACTGTTGTTTTATTATTGTTTGTGTTGTCTTGCCTTGCTTGTCTTGTCTTGCCGGTGCTGTGTGTTATTTAAATGTAAGCGGTCGACGTTGAGCACAATTCAGTTGTACTTCAACACGCAAACTGTTAACAACGCAAACTACACAAAGCTAAAATAAAAAATATAAAACAAATCATTTTTTGTTTCAAAAAAAAAAACAAATTGGCGTAGAAAAATAAATTGAAAAAAATATTAAGAGTTGAAATATTCTTAACAAATTGAGAAATCAAAAGAAGAAAAATAAAATAAAACACAAATCAAGTGCAAGAAAAAGCAAGCAAATAAAAAAACAAAGTGTGTTTTAAAGAAAAAATCACAAGTAAAATAACTGAAAAAAAAATTAAAAAGAGTGTTTATTTTTTTTATAAATTAAAACAAAGTAAATAAAAAACAACAACCATGTCGTGCCGTCAAATTTCCTCAACCACCACCGGCATCGTCGCTCTTTGTTTATTTGTTTTTGTAATGCTATGCAGTTTTAGCAGCAGTCAAGCGGCTGTATTTACACAACGGGCCATTTTCAATCCTGGTTAGTATTCTTTATTTTTTTTTTTTCGAATAAATATCTCTCACGTTTTAGTTTGTTTGCAAATGTAACGTTTATTTATTTATTTGTGTTTATTATTTATGCATATTTAATTGTGTGAAAAAAATATAGAAATGAAAAAAAAACAACAGTAAGAATAGTTAAAAAATTAAATAGGGGATTTTCTTTAATTTATAAAAAAAATAATAATAATAAAAAAAAAGAAAAAAAATAATAAATAATAATAATAAAAATAATTCATATACACTATGTAATTCAAAATGATTAAAAAAATCAAAATTATAAAAATAAATAAATAAAAAATATATTAAAAAAGTTATTAAAAAATAGATTAAATATATATTAAAAATATATTTTTATCAAAAATAGTTTATTTTAAAACTCGAATTATTTTTTTTTAATAAAAAATATATAATCTTAAAAAAAAATTTTTTTTTTATTAAAAATTTTGAAATAAAAAATTAAAAGAAGCCAGATTAAAAAAAATAATATATTAAAAAATACCATATATTAAAATATAGTTTAATGATTTTTTTAAATTATACCTATAAAAATTTTACATAATATTTTCTGATCATTTAAAAATTATTTTTAATAAAATCATAAATATTTTTATAATTTTTTTTTTATTTAAAATTTTGCCTTTATAGGCGATGATCATTTGAATGAATTTTTAAATAAATATTTTTATAATTTTTTTATTTAAAATTTTGCCTGCATAGGCGATGATCATTTGTATGAATTTTAAGTGTTTTTTTTCTCTATTTCGACTCGAGCTTAGGCGAAAAAAAATACATCGCTATAAAAATTTATTTAAAAAAAAATACACCTATTAAATTACAATATTACAAGATTTATTTTGTTTATCATATAAACCTTATACCATGGTGCGTATGATTATTTTAAAAGCAACAACAAAATATATTAAATTAATTTTGTGAATTAAATTTCAAATTTCTCCTTTCAAAAAAAAAAAAAAAAAAAAAATTATTAAATAATTATAAATAAATTAATTTACATTTGAGTTCAGAACAAGATTTATATATATATTTCGTAAAAAAAAAATATTAAAAAAATTACACCTATTAAATTTCTTTTTTTATCCTTTTAATTTTTTTTCAAATTCTTTATAAAAACGTTTTTAAAAAATAAAAAAAATCTACTTTAAAATTAATAAAAAAATCCCAATGTTTATAAAAGAGAATTCTTAAAGTAAATTAAGCCTTAAATATATTCAAACACAAAATGCTTCGACTTAAAAAAAAAATCACATGAAAATAATAAAAATTTAAATATATAATTTCAATTTTCTTATATTCTTATAATATTTTTTTATTTAATTTACAAAATTAAAAAAGAAAATAAATAATTCGAGTTTCAAAATTACTATTTTGTAATTTCTTATATGAAAAATAATTTCTTTTGAGCATTTTTTGTATTTTTTTTTATTGATTTGCTACAAAGAAACAACAAAAACAACAAAAAATCTAAAAATAAAAAATATATAATTTTTTCTACTAACGTGGCTAGTCATCATCAAGGTACCTTTAAACAATTTAGGAATGTTGAAGCTAAATACAATTAATAAATTATTGTCATGACTAAACACGACTAAAACAAAACAACAAGTTCTCTTGATGAAAATTCTCCTTTTGAAGTTTGTCGCTTAAGTCGTTTTTTGAAATGACCATTTCCTTCAATATGGTCTCTCTCTTCGAAAGGACAGGAAAAATGTTTATCTTCTAAGTCTTTTGTTTGTTTTTAATCGTAGTATGTGATTTAGTATATCTCCACCTCTTTCCCTCCCTCGCTTCCTCTTTGTATTATCTCACTGATATGTGTTAATAAGTTTGTTTCCTAAGTCTTTTGTTTGTTGTCATCACCAATGTAAAATTACTTTAATTTCTCTGTCTAGCTTTCTCACTCTCGCTCTCTCTCTCTCTCTCTTTATGTTATCTCACTGATAATTTCTAACGGATGTATGTTTCTTAAGTCTTCCATTCAATTGAGGAATGTTGAGGTTAAATACAAATAATAAATTATTGTCATGACTAAACACGAATAATACAAAACAACAAGTTCCCCAAGGGGAATTTTTTTCTCTCTTAAGAATGCACACACAAAACACACACTCTTCAAAAAACAAATAAATAAAAATACTTTTGTGGCCAAAGAAAAAAAAATCACAGGAAAAAATATTCAACGTGAAATTAAATATCTAAAAACGGCATGGGATGGCTATAATTACCCGAAAGAATGTCAACCCAAAAACACCTTGCAATAGGGGAATACATTATGATACAAGATGAAGATTGAACAAGTAAAACGACATTTTTGCTTCTTTATTAATTTTTTTTGGAATCCAACCACAATAAATAACTTGTAGAACTTGAAAGAAAAAAAATCATATTCAGTTTTTCTTTTTTAAAAACATCCATATTGAATTACAACGACTTCTGTAAAGACAAAGAAACCCATTTCGCAAAAAACAACAGAAATATTCCACAAGAATAACAGCAACAACAACAACACCAATAAAAATCTGAAATGGAATTAAAAAACCTGAATTTCTTTAACAACGAATGACAAACACGCGTAAACAATTATCTGGATTCGTTGAATTTTCATGCAAGAACCAAAAAATCTGAAACAGAAAAAAGCAACAACAACAACTGTCATCTGTTGGTCAAGGTCATTAATAATGAATATTTCAGTGATGAGACAATTTCAAATAATAATTAGTAAAAAAAATAAATAAAATTTTGTTTTTTGTTATTGTCGTATTTAATTAATTATCAACATGGTGAACTACAATAGATTTCATTAGAATCTCCGTTTGCCCCCTAACCAAAAAATTGTTTGTCATTAATTTTTAATTTTTTTTCGATATCCATAAGCCATAAAAGTTCAGTACAGTTATTTTATATTTAATGGGTTTGTTTACTTCTGCTATGGGAATATTTTTGTTGGTTGCTGTTGTTTAAATCGATTCTTCTTTTTTTGCTAATGAAGTAATTTCTTGGAATAAATGCCACAATTATTGCAAAAAAAAATATATAAATAAATTAATTAAAAAATAGATAATTGAATAAAAAATATTTTTTATAAATTATTTGGTTACAGATTAAAAATATTTGAATTAAAAATATTAAATTAAAAAAATATATATTTTTTTTGGCAAAAATATTTGTTTCCTAAGCCTTTTGTTTGTTTTTAATCATAGTAAGTGATTTAATAGATCTCTGCCTCTTTCCTTCTCTCTCTCCCTCTGATTGTATTATCTCACCGATATGTGTTAATAAGTTTGTTTCCTAAGTCTTTTGTTTGTTGTCATCACCAATGAGAAATTACTTTAATTTCTCTGTCTAGCTCTCTCATTCTCTCTTCGTGTTATCTCACTTTTAATTTCTAGGTGAAGTTTGTTTCTTAAGTCTTTCATTCACTTCACCATGTGCAATGATTTAATTTCCCCGTTAGGCTCTCTCACTCTCTCTCATTATGTTATCTCATGGATAATGTGAAGAAAAAGTTTGTTTCTTAAGTCTTTTGTTAGATTGTTTACCTTTGTGAAATTAACGGAATTTCTTTGTCTCTCTCTCTCTCTTTCTCTTTGTATAAGTCGTTGTGATAACGTGTAGAGAAGTTTGTCTCTTAAGTCTTTTGTTAATTTTCGTTTTATTTATTATTATTTCTTCATTATTATTTATTTTTTTTTTTTATTTTTATTGTATTTTTAAATTAATAAATTGTGATTATTGTTGTTGTGGCAATAACCTTTTGGCCCCCTTCTGTCAGTTGTCTCCTCTATGTTTGTAAACATTTTAATTGTTTTTATTGCTCAGCATTATAAATTGCCAATAAATGTCAACGGCATGCTGCGATGTGACCTTACATTGAGACATTAAAAACATTAATAAAATAAATAACTACATTTTGTTTGGACATATGAACAAAAAAAATTCTATGAAATATATAAATAATAAAAAATGCAATAAATAAAAATTATTGAAAAATTATCAGACATAACAAATTACAAAAAAAAAAAAAAAAAAAAAAAAAAAAAATAAAAAATAAATGCCATAAAATTTCATAAAAATAAAAAAGGAAAAAAAAAAAAAAAATAAATTATAAGAAAATTATACAATTGCAATAAATTAAAAAAGTAGTAGACATTATAAATTACAATTAAACAACAAAATCCAAAAATATCAATGCCTCAAACTTCACGAAAATTAAAAAAAAAAAAATTAACAAGGAAAAATTATATGAAAAATTACAAAATAAAAGTTCCCTGCTATTATAGCTGGCAATAAATTTTATTTTTAATACAAAAAAAAAATAATTACACTTGTTTCGTGTCCATGTTAATGACGTCAATTTGCCCAAAAAATTTTTGATGTTAAAAAACCGGCTTCCTTGGCCACTAAATTTAGTTTTGCCCCTTTAAAAATTGTTTCTGCATTTTGCAGTACAATGAACTGAATATACACAGACACACACGTACTCCCCTTGCAGTTGTTAATATAACTTTTTTTAGATTTTTGAGAAGGTCATACAGATGTTGACTACATATTTTCAATATTATGATAATTATTAATAATAAAATTAAAAAAAAATAATATATAAATATTTTTTTTTTTTTTTGGAAATTTTTCTTGTTATTTTTTTATTATAATATTATTAAAAAAAAATCCATGCCTTGAACTTAAAAATTCCGTGTCTTGAATTTAAAAAAGAAAAAAATATTTAAAAAAATCCACGCCTTGAAAAAATATTTTTTTTTGAAACCAGGTCTTGAAAAAAATATATTTTTTAAATTCAGGTCTTGAAACAATTTTTTTTAAAATCTTTTGAAAAAAAATGTGAAAAATTATTTGTTGATAAAATAAATTAAATTTTTATTAATTTTTTAATATTTTTCTCCATAAAATTTCTTTGTGTCTTAAGTCTTTTGTTCTTAAGACACATATTTTTTTCATGTTTTGAAATTTTTTTTTTAAATCTGCCTTTTGAAAAAAAATGTAAAAAATTATTTTTTTTATTAATTTTTTATAAAATTAAATTTTTATTTATTTTTTAATATTTTTCTCCATAGAATTTCTTCGCAATTTTGTTATTAGGTTTGTGTCTTAAGTCTTTTGTTCTGAAGTCACATATCTTTATTTTTATTTATGTTTTTTTTTTTTTTTTTTTTTTTTTTGGCAAAGAGTTTGTGTCTTAAGTCTTTTGTTTTTCTTATTTTTTGCTGCATCTTGTTTTTGTTTTCTCTTTTTTTATTCTTTCCCCCTGGAAAAAAATTCACTTCCCATATGTCAAAACATATGTCATGTTCCGCTTCATAACAGCTGTCAGGCAATCAGTATCCATCCCCATCCATATTCAGAATATTTATCACAATGCAAGGGGTAAATCACGATGACATGTAGAATATTATTCATATCAGATTTCCTCACCCTCCTTTCATTGTTGTTGTTATTTTTGTTGTCGATTTCTATATTAAATATGCATACATAATGAACTTCCTTATTTTTTCGATTTTTATTACAATAAATAACAAAAAATCCGCAATCGTTGTAAAATTTCTTAACTAATTTCCCCCTTTTGTTTTTTTCTTCTCCTCTTTACAGCACATCCCGGTAAATGTTTTGATAAATTCACCCGCCGTGCCATGCTGCCGAACAAGGAATACAAACCCAAAGGCATTTGTGCAGCCTTAACTTGTGATCTTGAGACGCAGACAATTAACATTGAGACCTGTCCGTACGTGGAGATGCCCGGCTGTGAGGAATTGCCTGCCGATCCCTCGTGGAGTTTTCCCAAGTGTTGTCCACAATTTAAGTGTACCGATTTTAAGACAGGCAAAGAATTTGTGGTCTCAGCGTAAATCTGAGAGACCAACAACAAAAAAATAACAACCCCAGCCAACAGTATCAACAGCATTAATATTTTTTTTATAAATATAAAATAATATTAATTAATTATTAAAAATCTCATCTCATGAAATATTATATTAATATCTTTAAAAAAATATGCATTACAAATTAAGTGTGTGTGAATGTTGTATTAACGTATGTGTGTGTATGTATCATTAAAATTGTTTTTCTTTTCTATCTGACTTTTCCCATTAATTAATTTATTTATTATTATAAAAACAATCGTATTTTTCAAAATTTCAAATTGTATCTGTATATATCATTTATATTCATTTAATCTTGCATTTGTGTGTATGTGTAATTGTATGTCTGTGAATTGTTTATTTTATATGTTTAATTGTAATTTGTAGTTTTTTTAGTTAAGTTAAGCCACCACCTGAATTGATGATCTTTTGTGTGCGTTTTTGGCATACTTTTTATTAATTGTTTTTTATTATTTTGTAAAGAAAAAATGTATGATTAAATGTTTAGTTGTAAGTTTAATTTAATTGGAAAAAAATTTGAAAAAAAATCAACAAAAAAATTAATATATAAAATAATAAAAAAATTAAAATTGAAAAATTTAAAACAAATGATTTATTTCTTTATTGGGAGAGAATACTTTTTTAAATGGAAAAATCGATAAAATGAGAACGAAAAATATTCAAAAAAAAAATGTGTAAAGCAAAAAAGAGTCTCAGTCTTAATGAGGGATTTTTCCTATTCGAAAAAATGCACAAATCTCTAGTTTATATTGCTCAGGCCTCGCAGTAGAAAACATTTCACTGTCCCTCCGTTTGTTGTTTGTTTCTTAAGTCTTTCATTCAACAAAAGCTTTCCTTCAATATATTTCTACCTTTCCTTGGGTAAGGTCTCTATGAGGCTGTTTGTTTCCTAAGTCTTTTATTTATTTTGTGTTTTCATATCTCTGCCTCATTATCTATCTCTCTCTCTCCCTTTTGTATTATCTCACTGATATGTGTTTTAATAAGTTTGTTTCCTAAGTCTTTTGTCTGTTATCATCACCAATGTGATATAAATTTAATTCTCTCTCTCTCTCGTTATGTTATCTCATTGATGATGCACAGCAAAAAGTTTGTTTCTTAAGTCGTTCATTAATTTCTCCATGTGCAATAATTTAATTTCCCTGTTAGGCTCTGCCTATCTCTCTCTCTCCCCCTCTCTCTATTTACGTTATCTCACTGATAAGGCAAAGAAAAAGTTTGTTTCTTTAGTCTTTTATTCATTTCTCCATGTGTAATAATTGCATTTCCCAGTTAGGCTCTGCCTATCTCTCTCTCACTTTCTCTCTCTATTTACTTTCTCACTGATAACAAAAAGAAAAAAGTTTGTTTCTTAAGTCTTTAGTTTGAGTGCTTACCGTCGTGAATTTAATGGAGTTCCCCTTACTCTCTCACTCTCTTTGCTGGGCTATAGTGCAGAAAATTTTGTTTCTTAAGTCTTTTGTTAGTTTTCATTACTTAATTTACCTAGTTCTCTTGCATTCGCGCTCTTTGCATAAATGTGCGTAAAAACTTTATTTCAAGATTCATTAAGGTGTGAATTTCTGATAAAAAAATAAAAATACTGTTTTTTTTAAATTGGATTTTAAAAAAATATTTTTTTAATACCAAATAATGCGTCAATTTTTTATTAATACGTTTTTTATCTTTTTTAAATAAAATATATATTTTTATACCCTTCACAACTATGTTATTTGGGTATTATAGCTTTGTGCAGCCCCAAGAGTTTGAAACGCCGCGAAATATTGGTCCTAGACCCACCTTTAAGTATACCGATCGTTATATCTCGACTAGCTGAGTCGATCTACACATGTGTGTCCGTCCGTCTGTCCATTATAAATTGTAAACACGATACAGGCCATAGTTATAAACCAATCGTCACGAAATTTTGCATGTAGAATGGGTTCTGGCCAATGAAGACCCTATTTATACCCTTCACCACACAGGGTATCATGTCTTTGTACATATGTTTGTAACAGGCAAAAGGAAACGATGTAGACATATGGTTCCTTTTTAGAATAAGCATAGAATCACTTTCTACGTCGATTTATGCATGTCCGTCCGTCCATGTTAAATTTTAAAAAAAGTACAAGTCGCATTTATTATTCGAATTAGATGAAATTTGGCACAACTCATTTATTTGACCAAAGGACGAACCCTATTGAAATTGGTGAAAATCGGATCAGATTTAGATATATCTCTCATATATATTTTCGTCTGATTTAAGGTAAATGGTGCACCAAAGTCTCTATATATCTTTCGATTTGCACGAAATTTGGTACAGGATACTAAATTGAGCCCAGAATGATGTGTGCTAAGTTTCATGAAAATCGGTTCAGATTTCGATATAGATCCCATATATATTTTCGTCTGATTTAAGATAAATGGTGCACCAAAGTCCCTATATATCTTTCGATTTGCACGAAATTTGGCACAGCGTAATGCATTAGGTCTAGAATGATGTGTGTTAAGTTTCGTGAAAATCGGTTCAGATTTAAATACAGCTCCCATATATATTTTTGTACGATTTTTTTTTTAAATGGTGCACCAAAGTCCCTATATATCTTTTGATTTACACGAAATTTGGCATAGCGTACTGAATTGAGTCTAGAATGGTGTATTAAAATTTTGAAGAAAATCGGTTCAGATTTAGATATAGCTCCCATATATATATTCGTCCAATTTTACATAAATGCTGCACCAAAGTCCCTAAAAATCTTTCGATTTGCACGAATTTTGCATAATGAATTGAGTCTAGAATGATGAGTGATAAGTTTCGTGAAAATAGGTCTAGATTTAGACATAGCTCCCATATATAGTTTCGTCCGATTTCATGTAAATGGTGCACCAAACTCCTAATGTTTGTTCGATTAACACGAAATTCTGCACAACGTATCAGATTGAGACTTGAATGACGTTATTGGGTTGTGTTGGAATTGGTGCAGATGCAGCCATAGCTTCCATATGTATTTCGGACGGGTGTCTGATTGAGATTAAAATTTTAACAGTGCGGCTTGCCGAATAGCGTGTATCAATTTTACTATAAATTGTTTTCCATAAATGTGTGCCATGATACGCGGACGACTCTAAATCGGTCCAAATGAAATTAAATTTATCATAGGTTGCAGATTATGTTATGAGTATGTTCCTTCAAGGCAATATTAACATGCAATTGTAAGGAAACATATATACAATATACCCAAAGTGGTGAAGGGTACCATATATAGTCGGCCCAGTCTGACTTTACTACTTTCCTTACTGGTTTTATGATATATTTTTTTAATGATTTTTTTTTTTGGCAAAAAATATATATTTTTTATTTTTTTATTTATTTTATTTTTTTTTTTTAATTTGTTTTTCTAAACTTATTTTTTCAAACAAATTTGGATTTGACACAAAGATACAAACGTATTTCCCTCTAACATTACTCGCTCTCTCTCCAATCTCTCGCACGTATTTTTAATTGAAAAATCATTCTATAAAAACATCGATTATTTTTTTCATATTTATTGAAATATTTTTTATGCTTATTTTTTAATTTTCCACTTTTTGGGAAATTTTTTTTTATTTATTTTTCCATTTTTTTATTTTTGCAAAAAATATATTTTTTTATTTCTTCAATTTTTTAATTTTATTTCCTAAACATTTTCTTTCAAAAAACTTTTTAATCGCCCTTAATTGATGACTAGAATGAAAGACTTAAGCCACAAACTTTATTCCCTCTAACATTTCTTGTCCTCTCTCCAATCTCTCGCACGTATTTTTAATTGAAAAATCGTTCTATACAAAAAAAGATTATTTTTTTTCATATTTATTGAAATATATTTTTTTATTTTTATGCATATTTTTTTAATTTTCCACTTTTTGGATAAAAAACAAATTTTTTTTATTTTTTCTATTTTTTATGATTTTTTTTTTGCAAAAAAAAAATATATTTTTTATTTCTTCCATTTTTTAATTTTATTTCCTAAACATATTTTTTTCAAAAACTTTTTAATTGCCCTTAATTGATGACTGATGAATTAAAGACTTAAGACACAAACTTTATTCCCTCTAACATTACTCGCTCTCTCTATCTCTCTCTATTCTCTTCTATGTATTTCCAATTGAAAAATCACCAATATTAAGTATTTCCATCTCTCTTTCAATTACTAAACCCATATTCTTATTAGAACTAGAGCACAAACAAAAGACTTAAGACACATGCACCTAAAGTAAAATCTTTGGTAAAATCACGATATGAAATATAAATCAAATATAAAATAGAATATAAATTAAATAACTTGATAACAAGAACAAAAGACTTAAGACACAAACTCGTTCTCACTCCATCACTCTCTCTCTCTCTCTACTTACTTAGGTATTTTCAATTGACAAAATATCCAATAGTGAGTCTCTTTCTCTATTATATTGTCTCTTGCAATGACTTTCTTATTAGAATATAGCACTCAAACAAAAGACTTAAGACACAAACTTACGCAAAAAGACTTAAGACACAAACTTTCCAAATATGGTCAATCTTTCTTACTTTCAACTGAAAAATATTCTTATATATTTTTTTTAATTCTTATTAGAACATAAAACCCAAACAAAAGACTTAAGACACAAGCACCTAATTCAAATCATTGATGAAATACAGTTTCCTTAAACCCACAGAATCCGCATGATTGTCATAAATAATTTATATAAAATCATTGGAGATGGTGCCTGATGATATTATGAAAATGTTTGGAAAACCCCTTAAAAAATAAACAACAATAAAGCGAACTAAAGAATTCGACATTTGCATTAAACTTTCACAATTTACATATATCCAAACAAACAAAATAAAACGTGAAATCCATTAGGAAAGGGATTAGAGAGATGTCATGGGGGTCACATTAACTTGAATGACAAACAAATATTCACAACTGGAACAAAGTCATGGTTAATGAAATGCGAAAAAATTATGATGTAGAAAAAAAAAAACAATA